GCTCCTGGCTGGGCCTATGTTGGTGCTATGAAAAGGACAAGGGTCAGATTGCATCTGAGCCCAGCCCAGAGCTGGTAAAACTGACAATAAATGACCACTGTCACCATGGCGGCTGTAGCCTGTTTCCTGAGCACACCTTGGTTGCTCTCATTTACTCCTGATGACAATGCTGTGACATAAGTCCTGGTGTCGCCATTGTACAGATGGGAGAAGCATGACAATCACACAGGTGACACAGGCAGAGCAAGGAGAGGGGTGTCCAGCGTGGATCCAGTAGGTGTGGAGGAAAAGCATGGTCTTCACAGACAGATGAACCGTTAGGTCAACATCAAAATTTGGAAAGAAGACTCAAAACTAAGTTTCCAGGAAAGAAGAGTACAGGAGGACAAAAACCCAGGGGCGCATAGGGACAAAGAAAAGAATGAAGGTGTTTTCCAGTGAGGACACCAGAAGGAACTGCTGACCATTCTGGAACAAGGCTCTCGATGGCTTCAGAAAGGGATTTCTGTGCACATTTTCTACCCTGCATCACCTCAGGGGTTGTCACAGAATTTTTGGTTTTAAAAATTTGATTTTAATCTCAATTCTGACCTTACAGCTAGGGAGTGGTAGTGGAAACATGTAACAGCCTGAACAGCACAAATCACGGTCCGTCAGGACAGATGCTGGACATGAGCGGCCACTCTGCTGTGTGACCTGCCTGGCCATCATTCCTGTGGTGCCATGGCACTTTGAGGAAGAAGAAAGTCAAAGTTGAATGTGAAGGGGACTTGGTGTCCCAGTTCCACCAAGATCAGGAATGGGCAAGGATAATGGGTGGGGGAGGGGCGAGGAAGAGAGGAGGCCAGACCGCCCACCTCCCGTCCTGTCTGTGGTTCTCAGGTGTGAGCCTGGGACCTTCCTGCTGGAGATTCCCGGGCCTCTTCCAAGACTGACTCAGTGTGTCTAGGGCTGAGGGGAGAAATGCGCATGATCAACAAGCCCTCGTGGACTCTGCTGTCTGGCAGTGTTTGACAACCAGAGTGCTCCGACCTCCAGTCCCACCCTACCTGTCCCCAACCCTCTTACCCACCCTTTTAATGAAACCCAACTACAGCCCCTATTGGCCACGTCCTTATCCTCCTCTTGCTTTTCTCTAACCATTCCTCCTTCCCCCTACCAACAACTGTCATCTGGCCTGAGGCTAGAAAAGGCAGAGGACAGAAATAAAAATCAAGAGAAAATGTGTATCTTTTGGCGAACATCACCGTTTTCCCTCCTCCCAGACCCTGGCCCCACCTTTCTATCCTCTACTTCTATGAGCTTGACTATATTCGATTCCACATATCAGTGAGATCATGTCAAATTTGTCTTTCAGTATCTGGTTGATTTCACTTAGCACAGTATCCTCCAAGTTCATCGATGTGGTTGCAAGTGGCACGATTTCCTTCTCTTTTTTTCTGAGTCGGAGTCTTACTCTGTTACCCATGTTGGAGTACAGTGGCATGCTCACGGCCACCACAGCCTCAACCCGCTGGATTCAAGCAATCCTTCCATTTCAGCCTTCCATGTAGCTGGAACTACAGGCTTGCACCACCACGCCAGGCTAATTTTTTGATTTATTATAGAAATGAGGTCTCACCATGTTGCACAAGCTGGTCTCGAACCCTTGGGCCTCAGGCAATCCTCTCATCTCCACCTCCCAAAGCGCTGGGATCACAGGTTTGTGCCACCAAGCCTGGCGATTTCCTTCTTTTTTAAGGTCAAATAATATTCCATTGTATGTGTATGTGTAGGACACACACTGACACATGCACCACATTTTCCATATCCATTTCCTTGTCAGACGTTCAGATTATTTCCTTATCTTGGCTATCTTAAATATTCTTACCACAGAAGGAAAGGAGGGAGGGAGAGAGGGGTAAAGAAAATGGTAACTATGTGAGGTGATATGTTAACTAGCTTAATCGTGGTGATTATTTCACAATGTATATCAAAGCATCAAGCTGCACACCTGAAATAAATATGGACAATTTTTATTTGTCCATCACACCTCAATAACACGGAAAACAAAAACCCAAGGTTTTCAGAGAGGAAGTCCTGCTGGAAATGAAGTGACAGGATGAGGGAGACCTAGGGCCCTCCTGCAGGGCCTTGGTCAGGTATTCAACTTCTGTGGGTCTAAATCTCATTATCTGTAAAATGAGAATGATAATCTCTCTCTCTCTAATTTAGAGTCTTTTATTTTATCTTGAGTGAGGATGTTACTCTGTCACGCAGGCTGGAGTGCAGTGACATGATTACAACTCACCACAGCCTCCAACTCACCACAGCCTCGACCTCCCGGGCTCAGGTGATCCTTCCACCTCAGCTACCCAAGTAGCTGGGACTACAGGCTAGCACACCTGGCTAATTTTCTAATTTTTATTTATTTTATTTAGGGGAGGGGGTAGAGATGAGGTCTTACTATGTTGCCCAGGTTGGTCTCAAACCCCTGGGCTCAAGCAATCCTCCTGTCTTGGCCTCCCAAAGTGCTGGGACTATAGGCATGAACCACTGCACGCAGCCTAATTAAGTAAAATTTTATTTTTAAAAATAAAAAAGATGATGTTTATAAAATGCCTAGGTTAGTGTCTGACATTATATAAGATTCTAAAACGTTCATAGCTTTTAGCCCACAAACTCCCAAACCTGTGAACATAAAGTTTGGTAATTCTTTCTCCTTATGTGCATTTGAGTGCACACAGTTACTACATGTTTGAGAGAAAGTCTTTGTTTGACTATTTCTTCCTCTTTATTATCGGCCTCTTTTTTTTCAGTTATGATTATTCTAAAACGCATGCACTCTTACACACAAATAGGGAGTCTTATTTGATCAATCTCATCATATTTGAAGTAGATACAATGTAAACTTTAAAAGCTTTAAAATAAAAGCACCCTCGTGATGAAACAGATGCTTATTTTATACGTGGGAAAGCCAAAACATAAGTCATCCCACTCAAAGTTCTCACTGCCAATTAAGAACTAGATCTGTATTTAGAACCTGCTATAGGCGCATGTCCCTTTGAGTGGACCAGGTCAGCCTTCTGCTGTGACAAATATAGCCTGGGAACATCCTGTTGGTGGTTAAGAGCAGTGACTGCCCAAGTTGAGCTTCAGCCAAACCTAGCCTCAGCCTCAGTATCAGCTCAAATCTGCATTCTGACCTGGGAGCTTACAGAAGCCAAGCAGTCAAATGCCTCCTTTGGCCTTGTTTCGGGAACTTCTGAACTTGTGTGTAATCAATGATCTTGTGGTCACACGGGTTACCACATCAATAGTGCAAACAAGCCAGGCACGGTGGTCCACGCCTATAATCCTAGCATTTTGGGAGGCAGAGGCGAGAGGACTGCCTGAGCTCAGGATTTCAAGACCAGCCTCAGCAACATGGCAAGATCTTGCCTCTATGATAAACCAAAAAATTAGCCAGGTGTGGTGGCGCATGCCTGTGGTTCCAGTACTTGGAAGGCTGAAGCAGAAAGATCACCTGAAGCTGGGCTTGGTGGCTCAGCCTGTAATCCCACGCCTTTGGGAGGCTGAGGTGAGTGAATTGCATGAGTCCTCGGGTTCGAGACCCGCCTGGGCAGCGAGACCTCATCTCTACAATAAAATCAAAAAATCAGCCGGGCGTGGTAGCGCATGCCTGTAATTCCGGCTACTTGGAAGGCTGAGGCGGAAGGATCGCCGGAGCCCAGTAGGTCGAGGCTGCGGTGGCCGGGAACAGCCAGCACTCCAGTCTGGGTGACAGAGTGAGACTCCAACTGAAAAAAAAAAAAAAAAAATCACCTGAGACCAGCAAGTCAAGACTGGGGTGGCCATGAGCATGCCACCGCACTTCAGCCTGGGTGACAAAGTGACTCTCTGACTCAAAAAATAATCATAATAATGCAAACAATACTATCTGGACTTGTTGCTAATATCAGAATGTTCAATCCAAATATATGTATGCATTTTAGATGTAGCTTGGAAGGAAAGATGTGCTCATCTGCTTCATATGTTGAGATTCTACCAGTCTACAGAAAATAACTGTATACTTTAATAGTTATTTATAATTATGTATATAATTATATATATTTGTGAGAACAAAACACTACAGTAATTAATGATATTTGTGGAAGCTACTAATTTTCATCCAGAAAAAGTTATTAACTTTTAAGTAGTTAGATAAGGCTATATACTGACAATTAATCCTGAATATAATGAGAGTACACTAACTAAATACTTTCAGGAAGCATAGTATGTCCTTTTAGAGCCAACAAATGTTTGTAAAAATTATATAATAATTCGAGGCAGAACGATTGAGAATACATTTCATTGTCAATCTGATCTTTTTAGAGTTGTTTGCGTACTAAATTTATAACATGAAACAAAATAACCTATAAGAATTATATTACATTTTTTGTCCTTTAACTCCCAGTTAATCCATGATTCTTGCTTCTCTGCAGGACTCAGTGGAAATAAGGCCCCTATTTAGAATCAGAAACAGGCAGCCCCCTGATGCAGAAGAAATCCAGCAGCCAAGAGCGCTGATCAAGACTTACTGAACCAAAATAGCCAGCTTTTAAGATTTACTCAAATCTTTAGCAATAAAATGCAATGATGTTTTTAAATCAAATTTCAGGCTTATCCTGTGTCCCAGCATTTGCTTAAACGCAGTGCCACGTGCTCTGACACTGGCTTTGGTCGGGGTTCAGTACTGTTCCTATCAACCTTGCCACAGGGTGGAGGTGAGTGGGGCTCCGGGTTCACGTTCCCTTGTCTTCAGTCCTCTGCTCCCCAGTAGGTGGCACCCAAGAAGGGCCAAGGTTTCCAGTCTTGGGTGAACAGGAGAGGTGAGCAGGACTGGGAACTCTCTGGGAGGCTTCTTGGAGCCAGTCCCAGACCTAGGTCCCTGGACTCCACCATGGCAGGGGGTCTGCCGACACTCAGAATCGAGGAGGCCGGATCACCTCTCACGTGTCTCTCTCCTTCCTCCCTCACAGTTTGTGAAGTTTGCCAACATTGAGGAGGACACTCCATCCTATCATCGAAGCTATGACTTCTTTGTGTCCAGATTCAGTGAAATGTGTCACTCGAGCCACGACGACTTGGAAATCAAGACAAAGTAAGTAGGGGAGGGCGAGGGCCGCCCGCAGAAACAGCCATCCTTTTCGCTGGCATTTACGTCTGCTCTGGTGAAATTCAGAGTTGTTTGCGGCACTAAATTTATAACATTAAACAAAACATAAGGATTATATTACATTTTTAGTAATTGAACTCCCATTTAGTCCACGATTCTTGCTTCTCTGCAGGACTTAGTTGAAACTCAGCCCCTGCTTAGAATTGGAAACGTGCGGGAAAAGCGCACCTGGCTGGACGTGGGTGGGCACGTAGGCAGCGCGAGGCTCCGTGGGGTTTCTAAAGGAAAAACCACTCAAGCTGGAAAACGGGGCTAAATGTAGGCTACTGGTCCTTTGAGCCCCATTTGAGAGCCAATGACAGAGCACACACAGACACACACACCCCTTTCTGTACACTTTTTTGTTCAGAATTACATGCTTTTCTACTTCAGAGACACACCCACTCACCATTATCCACCAAGCTATACACTCACCAATAAAAAGCCAAAGTCCCAGCCTTGGCTTATCCCAGCTGCCTTCCTCATTCCGTCTCCTCTGTCCTCCCACTGGCTCACTCCTCTCCAGTCACACAGGACTGCTTGCTGTACCCACCAGCACACCAGGGACATTCCTGTCCCAGGACAGGACACTCCTGTCCCAGCCTGTCTGTGCTTGTGCCTGGAATGCTTCCTCCAGGGATCTGTGTAGCTCACTGCATCCCCTACATCACACCTTTCCTCAAATGTCCCCTTGTCAGTGAAGCTGCCCTGTACATCCTCACACACCCCCTCTCTTCTCCTTCACCCTGCTTTGTTTTTTTCCCCTTAGTACCCAACCTCTTTGAACATGTTTTGTGATTACTTGGTATGTTTCTTCTCCACCCCTGCCTCTTCCCACTGGAGCGTAAGCTCTATGAGGGCAGGGGTTGTTTTGTTTGCTGACGCACCCCAAGTACTAGCACGGTGCCAGGAGACCAGTAGGCGCTAGAGAGATAGGGGTTGGGTGAGTGATGGAATGAATGAATGCTTTCAGGTAACCATCTTGAATTACAGAATATACTTCTGGATACATATGCTACAGCTTATAGAAACACATAACAAAATACGCTTACATAGATCATGAAGTGTGACAGTCAAACTGATGCGGCAGTAGATATGGGACAAAGCTGCAAGTAGGTGCTTTGTGCCAAGCACTGTCCTTGGCTCTGTAAGTGAAAAAGAATCAGAAGTAGGTCTCTGCCTACGAAGAGTGAGTTGTCACCTCAGGAAGGCCACGTGAAATGAGCGAGTATGTTTACAGAAAAAGGAGGCAGAAGAAGGCTGAGCTGACCATGCCGAGCAAAGCCTGGAAGGCATGGCAGGTGGGGCTGGTAAAGGCAACCTGGGCCAGCCTCCCACGGGGGCCCAGTCTTTTCCAGTTGATCCCAGAACTCAGCTCCTTCCTTCATCATGTCAGCACCTCGGAGAAGCCCCAAGCGCTATGTTATGCAGAACAACAGGGTCAAGGAGCCAGGTGTGCCCCCTCACAACAGCCAGTGCCTGGGTTGGAACAACAGGAAAGGAGTCCCTCCATCCCCAGGAATGACTCCTGGGCAGGTCCTGGCACCACTGGAGGGCAGTGTCAGGGCTTCCTCAGTTTCTAAGACCTCTCTTGAGCCAGTCACGGACTCCCAGGGACTGTGCTGCCCCCAGTGCCTCTGATGAAGCCAGTGGGGGTTATGGGAGGAAGGAGCCCCTCCCAGGGGTGGCTTCCTAAGTAGTCACCTTACCCCGAAGCAGCCATGAAGAGGTAAAAGGGGCTGGAGCTGTCAGGACATGTCCAGAAGCAGGTGTTAGGGAATGTACAGGGCTGTTACCAGGCATGGCTCTAACAGGTGCTGCCCCTGACTGTGCCAGGCTGCCAGGAGGGGGAGAGGGGAACACTCCTCACACTGCTTCACACATGCATGATCCAGCATGGAGCGTGCTCAGCACCATGTTCCAGCAGCAGGAGATTCCTGAACATCAGGAGGAAGACTGGCACTTGTCACCCATGACAGGAAGGCCTGGGGTCAGAGGGAAGGGACTTTCTTTTTTTGAGTTGGAGTCTCACTGTCGCCCAGGCTGAAGTGCAGTGGCATGCTCACAGCCACTGCAGCCTCGACCTACTAGGCTCAAGCAATCCTTCCTTCTGCCTCAGCCTTCCAAGTGGCTAGAACTAAAGACGCATGTTACCATGCCCAGCTAATATTTTGATTTGTTGTAGAGACAGGGTCTTGCCATGTTGCCCAGGCTGGTCTCGAACCCATGGGCTCAGGCAGTCCTCTTGCCTCTGCCTCCCAAAGCACTGGGATTATAGGTGTGAGCCACTGCGCCGGGCTGAAAGGGGCTTTCTGGCACCAGTCTTCTTCCTTTCCCTTCCTTTTGCCTCTCTCTTCTGTCCTCCGCTCCCCTCCCCCGCCCATTTTCCCTGAGATCCACCACCACCACCCCCGCCCCGTTGTTCATTCTTAGCCTGTTCAGACTCCAGAATGGTGCAGAGGTGCTGGACTCCCTATGTGCCCAGCGTCACTTTGCACAAAGAACCCGGAGCATGCCTCGAGACAATGTTGGCTGCCCTTCTAAGAACACCCATGGGTTTCAACAATGGGTCTGTGTGTGTGTGATTCCTCAGGAAGAAAGGATGGGTATTTTCTGGACTCCCCTTGGACTGAGACTGCTCAGGCCTCCACTGAGCCCATTTAGAGGAGCGGTGAGATGGTCCCTCTCCCCCAGGCCTGAGTTTTCTGAACTTACTTTGAAAGGGTCGGTCAGCTCTGGGTGTCATGGAATGAAACATGTACATATGTGGAAGGGATTCTGGGGAGACTGGAGGAAAAAGAAGAAAGATTAACTCACATTCACACATAAGGAGTCCCTGAGTAGACAGCCAGCCAGGCTCTCTTCGGTGGGACATGCGAGTCCAGCCCGTTTGGAAAGCATTTCAATTGTGCGCTGGGGAGTATCTTTTAACCTGGAGCCAAGAATAGTAAGGGGAATAGTATTCCTGATAGCTCATTCTCATGTCTGGACAGCCTCTAGCTCGGGGGCTTGAGCGGGGGTCAGGGTCAGTTCAGAGTGGCCAGGTGTTTCCCCAGGGAGGCCTTGCCTCCCTCTGTCAACAGCCCTAAACAGCTGCGAGGCTCCTGCCACCCCATTGGTGATGGTCACTTGGTAGGGCCCAGAGAGCACCCAGGTGACCCCTCTTGAAACTGACACTGAGCCGGGCTCGGTGGCTTAGCCTGTAATCCCAGTGCTTTGGGAGGCTGAGGTGAGTGGACTGCCTGAGCCCATGGGTTCGAGACCCGCCTGGCCAACTTGCAAGACCTCATCTCTACAATAAATCAAAAGTTAGCCGGGCATGGTAGCGCGTGCCTGTGGTTCCAGCTACTTGGAAGGCTGAGGCAGAAGGATCACCGGAGCCCAGCAGGTTGAGGCTGCAGTGGCCGGGAGTAGCCACTGCACTCCAGTCTGGGTGACAGAGTGAGACTCCAACTCAAAACAACAACAACAACAACAAAAAACTGTCACTGAACATACAACTGGCAACTAAACATTTTGAAGAACCGCCCAACTCCAATAATCATCAGAAGGATGAGAATTGAAATAGCTACGAGATGTGGGGCATTTTTCTGAGCCATAAAATTGGAACAGATGTTTAAAATGAGATCCCCAGTGCTCTGCAGGCACAGGGAAAGCCGCATTCTCTGCAGCATGCACATGGCTGGGGTGGGCGTAGGAATCATGTGGAAGTATTGGGAGCCTTTCATTCTTTCTTTTTGACTCAGTGAGTCTATTCATGGCAATGACTTGAAACACAGAGAAATATTTTATCCAACAATACCTGTCATGGCATTATTAGAGTAGCAAGAAATGTAGAAACAACCTACATGACCCTCAGAGGCCCAGTTAGAAAGGCCTAAGACAGTGTATCCTGCAGCCATTCAACGTGTTCGTGAAGAGCCAGTGACACAGGGAGTGCATAGAGAGTTATGTGAAAAACAAGCCGATACAAATTAAAGATGCAATAGTCCTAATTGTTACATATTATGCACAAGAGAAAGGAAAGACATCACAATGCTAATAATGGTTATCTTTTGAGTGGTGACAGTAGGGGTAAATCGTCTCTATGCTTCTCTATAATTAGCATCTATTCTTTTATAATCAGAAAAAGTTTCATTAAAAAGAGAGAAAAAAAGGAACGTTAGGCTGTAATAAATGGCCAACAAAGAGAGCTCCTTCCCACAGGGTCATGCTGACTGGGGGTCAGCATCGTAGAGCCTGGAGTGTGCAAAAGGGGCCTCCTTTGTGCTGTTACTCTGGTTTCTCGGCCAGCTGACAGCTGAGCCCCAGCCGAAACCCCTTCGTGCCCGAGAGCCTGTAGCTCTGTGCCTCCCTCCAGAGCTGCCTGCCCTATAGCCTGGAATCTCCCTGCTCAGTCCTTGACAGCACTTTGAGCTCTTACACCCTGGGTCCGAGCAGGAACAAACCCAGCTAAGTACTAAAGAGCAAACAACACCCTAGGGATGAAGCCCTGGTGGGACCAGGGCAGGGCAGTCTGGGAGTCTCCAAGACGAGCCAGAAGACATGGTTTCCTGGGCTTATGTCCACCAGCACAAGAAGTCAGCCAGCAAGGAGGTCAGGTCACGTGAAGGTGGTCTCCACATGGCAGGTGGTCTCCACTCTGCCTCCTGATGGACAAGTGTATCCCCAGCCCCCAAACTGTGCTCCTCTCTTCGCCACAGAAGCTGGACTTCTCAGGGCTTGAGGACTTCATGGTCCCATTTCACCCTTTTCCTTCCAGAATTCGAATGTCGGGCATCAAAGGTCTGCAAGGGGTGGTAAGGAAGACAGTGAATGATGAATTGCAGGCCAACATCTGGGACCCACAGCACATGGACAAGATCGTCCCATCACTGCTTTTCAACCTGCAACACGTAGAGGAAGCCGAGAGGTGAGCAGGCTAGGGTCGTGCTCAGACAGCAGGCAGGACTGGCCCTCTGAGGCTGCCTCCCATGCTGCTTGGGAACCGCATGGCTCGGGCAGGTCTTAAAACCCAGCTACAAGGCCCGGAATCACGGCTGCATGGCTTGTTCTGCAGTGACTCCAAAGCTGGCTCCCTGGGGGCCTTGGGCCTGGCCTTCTGCCAGCCTGCTGTGCCCCTTAACATCCATGTTCATGAAGAAAGGACAGCAGTGGGGCTGGGCTCCCTGGGGGCAATTGTGTGCTGGTGAGAACACAAAGAACCAAGAATCCGGTTACCTTTGTCTCCCTGGAAGCAGCTGGCCAAGAAGGCTTTGAGATGCCTTTCATGACTCCAATTACTGAGGACTCTCCCTCCAGACCTTCCTTCCTCCCTGGCTTCCCGATGCTATTTCTGGCCCTTAAAACATGAGTGCTTGGCCAGCCAGCAGCTGCTCGACAAGAGCTGTAGATTCTGGGTTTTAATCTTGGAACCCTTAAAGATTCTCATCCCTGCTCCTCACTCTTCCCCTCTGTGAAATGGGACAGAGAAAGAGGTTCATGCTGCCCTCGTCCCACCTTGGCTGTGTGTGCATGATGCGGGTTAAAGATACTGGGTTTCTTGTTTTCCGTTACTGGAGCTTATGTTGCCAGAGATGGGTGGGGAAGTAAGTGCGCCCTCTGGTGGATATTTCTTGAAGAGGAGCTCACTGATAGGCTCCTGCTGTGGTCTCTGGTGGTATCAGGACCGGAAGTCCTGAGGCTGCTTGTTCTGTTCAGATCTGGGCCTACTCCCTGTAACCTGGGTACCACTGAGTCACGCCTGAGCCAGCCACCATGCCTTTCTTTTTCCCTCTCTCCTATCTCCCACTTCTTTTGCTTTCTCTCATTTTTCTGTCTGGCCCCCTTCCCTCTCTTCATATCCTGTCTTTTTTTTCTTCTGAAGTCTTAGGTGCATGAAGACACCCAGGGCCTGGGCCTCACCAGGCCCACGGTGCTCAGAGTATCTTCTCACCACAGCACATCAGACCCATCCTTAAGATTTCCAGAAATGGAACTTTATTCCTGCTACCTCAGTCTTCCTCTACTTCCCCCAGTGGGGCCTTCTTTACCCCCATTTAATTTATTTTTCTTTTCTTTCCTTTTTTTTTTAAGTCATGGTCTTACTCTGTCACCCAGGATGAAGTGCAGTGGCACACATCCCAGTTCACCACAGCCTCAACCTCCTAGGTTTAGGGGATCCTCCCACCTCAGTCTCTCGAGTAGCTGGGACTATAGGCATGCACCACCATGTCCGGCTACTTTTTTACTTTTACTTTTTGGAAACAAGATCTTGCTATGCTGCCCAGGCTGGTCTCAAACTCCTGGGCACAAATGATCCTCCTGCCTGGACCTCCCAAAGTGCTAGAATTACAGACCTAAGTCACCATGCCCAGCCTAACTTCCTTTAATTTCTTGTTGCTGTTGTTGTTGTTGTTGTTGAGTTGGAGTCTCACTCCGTCGCCCAGAGTGGAGTGCAACGGTACCCTGACGGCCACCACAGCCTTGACTTGCTGGGCTCCAGCGATCCTTCTGCCTCAGCCTTCCACATAGCCAGAACTACAGGTGCATGCTACCATGCCTGGCTAATTTTTTGATTTATTGTAGAGATGAAGTGTCGCCAAGTTGCCCAGGCTGGTCTCAAACCCGCGGGCTCAGGCAATCCACTCGCCTCAGCCTCCCAAAGTGCTGGGATCACTGAGTCTGGCCTACTCCCTTTAATTTCTGATAGCCATACCATCTCCCTGTTGTCCAGCATGGCCCATGTCAGGTTCCTGCTTGTCCTACTGTCATCATTTGAATGGATGAAACCCAGAGTGCAGGGCTGCACAGAGCTTGACTCCCAACCCTGCATTCATGCTCTACTCACATGCCTATTTCCCCAGCCGGTCTCCCTCACCCCTCCAAGCACCCGAGAAGGAAAAGGAGAACCCAGCAGAGCTGGCTGAGAGGTGCCTTCGGGAGCTGCTGGGCCGGGCTGCCTTTGGCAACATCAAAAACGCTATAAAGCCTGTTCTCATGTGAGTGCCCCCACCCACCCCTCATCCTACCTGTCAGCTTCGAAATGTTTCAGGTCCCAGCATCTTCCTGCTGGCTCAGGGAGAAGGGAAGGGGTTATTACAGCTGGGGTACTGTGGCCAGGTCCGTCTCTTCTCTGTGCCTGTGCTCCCTGCATTATGACAGCAAAACCTACCACACAGTGACCAAGTGCAGTTGGTAGGAGGGCGCCCAACACTAGACGATGGTGGCCAGCTTCACCCTATGTAGCCACAGTTACAGAGCCCTGTTCTTTGACCTCTCTCCAGCCCTGGGGTTTGCCCCTTCTCTCATCTACACCTGTGAGTCCTCTGTCACTTACCTGGAAACTGTGCAAGGGGCTCTCAGGAGGCGTCACTCTCCCTCCAAGCTGCTCTCTCCTCCCTGACGTCACTTAGGGTTTCGTAGTCATTCCCCCATGTTTTCTCCCTCACAGCCATCTGGACAACCATTCTCTTTGGGAACCCAAGGTGTTCGCCATCCGTTGCTTTAAAATCATCATGTACTCAATTCAGGTATGGTGGCTCCCCTGGCCCAGCTTGTTCCCCAGCCAAGGCATCTCTGGGAGCAGAACAGTGCACTGAAGTAGAAAGCCAGATGTCCTGACTTCTAGGCCTCAGCCAGTGCTACTTAAGTCAGCTGGAGGGCCAGTTTAGTTTTATTTCCAGTACATCACAGACAAATACTTTTATAAAATACAACTCAGAAAAACTAAGTCAGAAAAACTCATACAAAATACAGTCCCACAGATCACACCTTGGCTGCTGCAGCATTGATAAATTGTTTACTAAACGCCAATTCTCCATCCCTTTGCATATCTCAGTGTAAACTGATGTCAAACAGATCTTGAATTGGCACCAGCCAATAGGCCACACTTGAGCAGCCCTGGACTAAGCCATGTGTCCTCTCGTGGCTTTTGCCAGTGAGACCTGAGGCCAGGGAAAAACCAAAAGGAAGACTGTTTCAAAATTGACTCTTGACCCATTTTGAAGTAAAGGGGACCAGGAAAATGTGGAAACCCGGGTCTTCCCTGGGATTTGGCTCTCTGTGTGATCCAGGCTGGAGGGCTCCAGAATAGGGCAGGGGATCTCGTGCCACCCGCAGGGCCCCCTGGGTTTTGGCTCTCTGTGTGACCCAGGTGGGAGGGCTCCACAACAGGGCAGGGGGTGTCGTGCCACCCGCAGGGCCCACTGGCTTGGGATGTGGCTTCAGTGAGCCCAGCCTCTGGGTCCCGGTGGAGGGCTGGCCAGCCAAGGCCACGTGGGTTTGCAGTTTGGGGCCCAGCACGTCTTCCTCCCCGCAGCCGCAGCACTCCCACCTGGTTATCCAGCAGCTCCTGAGCCACCTGGACGCCAACAGCCGCAGCGCCGCGACTGTGCGCGCCGGCATCGTGGAGGTTTTGTCGGAAGCTGCAGTCATCGCCGCCACCGGCTCAGTGGGTAAGGGGAGCCCCCGAGCGAGGGGGCGAGGGAGCGAGGGCCGGGAACCCCGACGGACAAATAACGCCCTTGCGGAGGCTGCGTCCTCTTCCAGAGAAAGGCCAGGAGCAAGAGGGAGGTGTCAGAGCCCGTCCTCCTCTAGAGAAGTCGGCGGGGAGCTGGGGCAGGGGAAACCCTGGGCTGGAAGTGGGCCGGGCTTGCCCTGTATCGCAGCGCAGGGCAAGAGGGATGCCAGCTCTGGATGTCGGGTCCCCCATCCCGCTGCGCTCAGGGCCCACGGTGCTGGAGATGTTCAACACGCTGCTGAGGCAGCTGCGGCTCAGCATCGACTACGCCTTGACGGGGAGCTACGACGGGGCCGCCAGCCTCGGCACCAAGATCATCAAGGAGCACGAGGAGCGCATGTTCCAGGAGGCGGTCATCAAGACCATCGGTGAGCCGGACGGAGGGGCGTGGCCCCGGGAGGGGCGTGGCTCCCGGGTGGGCGTGGCTCCCCGGGTGGGCGGAGCGCCCCGGGGCTGCACTGGAGCGGGAGGGGTAGGGCCCCCTGCGTGGGCATCGGTTCAGGACCTTGTAGGATTGTCATGGTATTCACAGACGCGGGAGAAAATGCCCGGCAGGGCCTGAGTGAGAGCACAAAACAATTTAAAAGTTCTCAGCCAGGACTTCAGATCACAGGGGAACCCTTCTTGGGCTCCAGCCCCCCTCAGGTCTCCTAGTGCTTCCAGGTTTGGGCGATTGGAGGGGAAGCGGGGAGGACTAAGGACGGGAAAGAAAGTGAAGAGGAGAGGGAGCAGGCCACGGAGAAAACGTGCGTTGCCCCGGACATGGAGAACTGTAAAGCCACCTCAGCAGCCTGTGAGATCCTGCCTGTCCTAGTTGTGTGAGCTGCCCCTCGGGTGGGAGAGTAGGCAGGACAGGAAAGATGAAGCCATGCTGTCTACGGAGGAATGACTCGCCCAAGGGCACCCAGCAGGGAAGACCGTGACAGCTCCTAGTGGGAACTGGGGTCCCTGCGCTCCTCCCAGGGCCCAGCGTTCTCCACCCCCTTCCCCAGTCGAGGAGCTGGGACCTTAATCACAACCCCCGTTTACTAAGTGAAGGCATGGGAGCCCGAAAGAGACCGCTGGATCCTCAATGCCTCATCTAAGGCCTCCTCCAGAGGCGGAGTGTCCTCGGAGCGGGCCTCTTTCTCGGTCTGAAAGGACCACGCAGAGCAGCAGCCCTCGCGCTCTGCAGGAGTTTGTCCGGCGGAAAGCCGCGCCAGGAGAGGCCCTGGAGGTTCGGCCGCCCGCGGGCCACCCTCTCCGCCGCTTTTCCCCGCAGGCTCCTTTGCCAGCACGCTGCCCACTTACCAGCGCTCCGAAGTGATCCTGTTCATCATGAGCAAGGTCCCGCTGCCTTCCCTGCACCACCCTGTGGAGACCGGGCGGACCGGGTGAGTCCGCCACGCCTCTCCCAGCCTGGGCGCCTCCCGTATCCCCTTCCCGTGGTTCCCGGCTCTCGCTTTTCTCCATCTGCGTTTTCTCGGCTCTGCCCTCTCCTCTCTCTTTTTACTCCCAAATTCCTCAGCCGCCTTTAGTGGGGCTCTTGGATCCCACAAGCTTCTCAGGCTGTCCCACTACTTTGGGGGGAGCCATTAACCCCCAGGTCTGCAAGACACTGTCTTGGTTAATCCAACAAGATAAGCCCCATGGCGAGACTGATTAGGGAAAACTGAGCAGGCAGGTGTGGGCTCTCCGCCCATATCACCATCCTGGTGAGTGTTTGTGTCTCTCCCCTACAGGGAGAACAGGAACCGTCTGACCCAGATTATGCTGCTGAAATCCCTCCTTCAGGTGAGCCTCTTCCTAGCCCCATTCCTGCTCTGCCTCTGCAGGAGGCAGCTCCTTCCAAGGGACTAAAAGAAGGCCACCACATACAGCCATGCATGTTGCATACTGCACACATATGCCCAGCCAAAAGGGTTACTAGGGCTAAAATCCGGCCTGTGTTCCGCTCACCAGCCAGGCTGGGCATCCACAGGGCTGGGCCCTCCAAAGCAGGTGGAACACCTGTTTCTGATTTTCAGAAAGATTCCTGGTGGCTACTGACAGCTGTGTCACTCCAGCATTACCTATCTTGAGATGAAATCTATTGGTTCTTGTCCTTTTTCCTTCCAGATACCCCCCTTTTTCCTATGTCCCCCCATTCTCCCTTGGCACATGTGCCCACCTCAGTCTCCCAGCCCCTATCTTTCCCTTCATCCGTGTTTTACATGCATGTCTTCTTTACATCTTTGCTGCCATCCCCGGAGTCTAGAGCCGTTGCTCTCAAACACCATTCCCATGGCCGACCCGTTAAAAGATGAGGTTCCTATCGGTCTGGGTACAGTCCTCTGTATTGGTTACAAGCTCTCAGGTATTCTTATTACAGCCCTGGCTTAAACACTGGGCATCTCACAGCTAGAGTTGGTCTTAACTCCACCTCTCCTTACCTGTCATCAACTCAACCACAAGAAGAGTTCTCTAGAAAAGCTGTTCTTCATGTGTTGACTCTTATTGGAGAGTAGATATCAATTTCCAGTTGATGTACACCTGCATTTCAAACTTCTCAGACTAAATCGGGAAGTCCCTAGTCCCCTTTTCTTCCCTAGATACCCCCTCTCATCTCTCAGTCTCTGCCTCTGTTCCAGCCATGCCAGTCTGGACAGACCTCCTCACTCCCCCCATGCCTTTCCTTCCCTTCTCTTTGGCCCACACCCTTCCTGGCACTATGCTTTTATCATCAAGCCCTTTTGCTCTAACACTGTCCACATCTGGTTGTCTCCTTGGTTTACATATTCCTGCCCTTTCTCTACTGAGTTTACCCGCATTCATTTGTACCCAGCATCTTATTAAGGTCATAGTTTGAGGCACATTCACACACACACACACACACACACAGAGAGAGAGAGAGAGAGAGAGAGAGAGAGAGAGAGCTCTCCAGTGAACTATCAATACTCCCAGGCTGTGCTGGATCCTCTGTGGCCTTCTGAATCATCAAAGGCATTGTTTTGCAGTGTGGACTTAACAGTAAATATGCTTTGCTGCATTTGGATGCTTTCACAACACCATGTGTAACGAGTCTATTTATGCCAACTGACTGTAGTTAGAAAGGCCCCCTTATTGCTGTGCTAAAAGAAGCATAACAAATGCTGTCTGTGTGCACCCTTTGGTCATTGCCATGTGTGTGAGTTCTGATCCTTCAGCCCAGCTGTAAGTTCTTCCGCTGTCTAGTTCTTTGCAACTGTCATACTTTTAATGAAGCATTGTGCTGGCTGGGTGCAGTAGCTCATGCCTGTAATCCCAGCACTTTGGGAGTCGAAGGTGGGGGGATCACTTGAACCCAGGAGTTCAAGACCAGCTTGTGCAACATAGTGAAACCCCGTCTCTACAAAAACAAATTAAAAATTAGTCAGGCATGGTGGCACACACCTTTAGTCCCAGTTACTTGGGAGGCTGAGGCAGGAATCTCGCTTGAGCCTAGGAATTTTGAGGCTGCATTGAGCTATATGATTGAGCCACTGCACTCTAGCCTTGGCGACAGAGTAAGATCCTGTCTGTGTGTAAATAAATAAATAAATAATAAAATAAAAAGTGACCCAGCACTTTGGGAGTCTGAGGCAGGAGAATTGCTTGAGCCCAGGAGTTTGAGATCAGTCTAGGCAACATAGGAAGACCTCGTCTCTACAAAAAATAAAATAAAATAAAAATATTATCCAGGAGTGGTGGTGCATGCCTATAGTCCCAGCTATTCAAGAGACTGAGGCAGAAGGATCACCTGAGCCCAGGAAGTCAAGGCTGTGGTGAGCAGTAATCATGCCATTGCACTCCAGCCTGGGTGGCAGAGTGAGACCCTGACTAAAAAAAGTAAAAGTGAAGCATTGGGCTCATGGTGGCTCTTCATCAGCTGTCCCTTACTGGCCGAGGTTCAGCTCCCTGGCTTCTACTTCCCTCTAGTGTTCATCCTTTGCTTGTTTTTGGTACACTGTCTGTCCCCATCCATCCATCCACACATCTACTGAGCTCAGCCAAGTAGGTTGTCTGGGTGGAGTGTTCAAAAAAGTTGCCTGTGGCATCCAGGACCTGGACTGGAGGGCAAGGGAGCTGATCGGGAGATGTCTGGAGAGAATGGATACTTTAGACCCAGCTCCTGCTGGCTGCTCCTCCATGTCCTCCCTGCACCTGAGAGGGACACTCTTCCTCAACACACCTGTCCTGGGCTCCCTGGCAGGTATCCACAGGTTTCCAGTGCAGCAACATGATGTCAGCCCTGCCCAGCAACTTCCTAGATCGCCTTCTCTCCACCGCCCTCATGGAGGATGCAGAAATCCGTCTCTTCGTTCTAGAGATTCTCATCAGCTTCATTGATCGTCATGGCAACCGCCACAAGTTCTCTACCATCAGGTGAGCTTGGGGGCGTCTCTCCTCCAGGTGAAGTGTGATGGGGAAGAGGATTCCCAGTAGGGCCCATCTTGCCAGTAGCTTCATATCCAGGTGGAAGGACAATGCAGATATTCAATGAGACCCACCAGGGAGTTGATCACCAGTGTGGACTCTGGGGTCCTGCAAGGGGAGAAGAGAGCAAAGGATACTTGTGCCTGGGGAGGAGGGATGATTTGGGAGATAAAGAGCAGGCATGAAAGATGGTTTTCAGGTGGGAGGAAGAGGAGGAGGGGCATCAGTAGAGACTGAGGGTATAGGGAAGAAATACGAGGAGGAAGCGAATATGAGATCAAGACTTCAGAAAAGAGACAGGAACTTGAGAACTTGAGAGAAAATGGAGAGGGCTAAGAACCAGGGCCAGGGAAGCACCGGCAGGCTTTGGTACCAGCAAATGATGCGGGGCATAAAGCCCAGTGACCCCGCTGAGCTCAAGCTGGCCTCACACAAGGGCTAAGGAGGCCCTTTGTGTCCCTTCCCAGTACCCTTAGTGACATCTCTGTCCTGAAGCTGAAAGTGGACAAGTGCTCTCGGCAGGACACTGTCTTCATGAAGAAGGTAAGTGGGCACGACCTCAAGACACAGTGGACCCTGAGGGGCCAGGCCTAGGGACACAACCTTTCAGTCCCCAAGTCACTGCTGGCCACTGACTGCCCCAAGCTGTCTCCTCCCTCTGTGGCTATGCTTGGTCCAGTCCAGGGGGTCAAGCCCAGGACTATGAGCCAGTCCAGAGCCATCAGCTGTGCTCTTTTTCTAAAGCTGCATTTGGACAGCAGCTTCTGTTGATGTCACTGGAGCCCATTTTCCCCTACACACTTATTTCTGCCTGTGTCCACTTCCGCTAGAGTCTGCTTAAAAGGCATCCCCTCCCTGAGGGTAGAGCTAGGCTACACACAACCATTCATGCCCCCTTCATAGTGGTCTTCTTCCCCATTCTCCTCCTCTTCCTGCCCCGCCCCACCTCTTCCCCTCCCCCACCTCCCCTGTTACCTTCCCCTGCCCTGGCCCCATCCCTAGCACTCCCAGCAGCTCTACAGACACATCTACCTGAGCTGCAAGGAGGAAACGAACATGCAGACACACTACGAGGCACTCTACGGCTTGCTGGCACTCCTCAGCATTGAGCTGGCCAATGAGGAGGTGGTGGTGGACCTCATCCGCCTGGTGCTGGCTGTTCAGGTAGGGCCTGGAGTGAGCAGGATATGGGGACTGAGATCAGGGGAGGCGGCCTGTTTTGGCCAAGCATTGATAAGCACATTGAGTAGCAACTGCTTAGTGATTGTTGGGAAGCCCAGGAATATTCACTCTTGGTTGTCTGTTCCTCCACGAAGACCCCAAACCACAGTCCTCTTTGGGGAGCCCCACAGAATGCTTCATTCCTGGCTTTGGCCCAGCCTCCAGCTAAAAACGGCCCAGGGGATAGGTTAGTCAGAAGCAGCCTCTAGCCCCTAGCATTTCAAGTGTCTTGCAGGGTCTGGGTGAGACTCCAAGGACTCCCAAGAGGGTGTTCATAAGCCCTGAGTGATCCCAAACAAACTTGTTTGCCTAAAAGTCCTCTGGTTCCCAAACTTAGCTACACTTCAGAATTGCCCTGAGCACTTGTTAAGAATATTCCCTGAACTGATGAATCCAAGTCTCCCAAGTCTAGCAGCCTGTCTATTTAATAAGCCTCCTTTGTGATTTGTAGGCAGCGACTGTGGCACTAGATAAGGCTTGAGACTTCCACAGTCTTCCTGGGTGGAAGTGTCCACCCAAGGATGCTGGGAGTCAGGTGGATCCTTCAGACCTCAAAGGCTGGGGCCTCCAGGATCCTGAAGCCAGACAGGCGTCATGTTCCTGAATCATGGCAAGCCTGGGAATTCAGCATGAAGAGTCCTAGGCCACCTGCTTGACAGTGCTAAATCCTGCAGGACCAACCTAGATGCTACAATTTCCTTAATTCTTCTTACCTTCATGAGCTAGAGGTTGGAGCTCCTTTGCACCCCAGTCCCCTGGTGACACCACAGCTTTCTCAACACATGAACCCAGTTGAGCAAGCCAGTCCAATCCTCTAAGAATCAGCTCTAGTGAAGGAGACGGCCTCCCAGCGGTGGGATTCATGGTGAGGTTTGGGCAGGAAAGGTACTAAGGCAGGACCTGAAGAGCAGGAACCTAAGGGCATGGCCTCCACACCAGTGAATACGAAGAGCCTCCTAGCCATGGTCTGCTCTAGGGAACGCCCCCTTCAGCTTTCGTGAGGATGACTTCTGTCTCCCAGAAAGTTACGGGGCAAATGTTGAGAGGGACTTAGTCTAGAAAACCAAGCCATCTCTAAAGAAGATTGGGGTGGAGGGTGTGTGCCCCAGTGTAATTTGTCAATTAAAAACTCCAGAGACCCATCTGTGTCTCCACAGGACGTGGCCCAGGTCAATGAAGAGAACTTGCCCGTGTACAACCGCTGTGCCCTCTACGCTCTGGGCGCCGCCTACCTGAACCTCATCAGCCAGCTCACAACGGTGCCTGCCTTCTGCCAGCACATCCATGAGGTTGGTGTCCTCGTGATCCTGAGAGCTCAGGGGACCTCGGCCTGGGGTTTCCTGGGAACAACTATTCCTTAATTGCAATAGTCCTGAACTTAGTCTTAGGCAGTGAAGGAAGACTTGAGGTAAGAACTAATAATAGTGAGAAGCAACCTTCTGTATAACATGACAGAGCAGGGGTATTGGGCCCGGGGATATTCTATACTCCTTCCTAACTTGCTGTCTGCTCTGCCACTTCCTGCGCCTCTATCCTTCCCCTACTCATGGGAGCACATCTGCACATACCCCTCACATCATGCAGACTGAAGCCACTTAGAGTTTTTGCTATGAAAGCCGGGTGCAGTGGTCCAAGCCTGCAATCCCAGCACTTTGGGTGGTGAAGGCAAGAGGATTGCCTGAGCTCAGGGGTTCCAGACCAGTGTGAGCAACATAGCAAGACCTCATCTCTACGATAAATCAAAAAATTAGCCAAGCATGGTGGCACATGCTTGTGGTTCCAGCTACTTGGAAGGCTGAGGCAGAAAGATCACCTGAACCCAGTAGATCAAGGCTGCAGTGGCCGTAAGCATGCCAATGCACTCCAGCCTGGGTGATAGAATGAGACTCCGACTCAAAAAAAAAAAAAAGAACTCAAATACTGCAAAAGCAGCATGAGTAGAACAGTGAAGTCCACTAGTGATTAAATAAGTGGTTATGAAGATTTTTTCCCCCATATGCTTTATCTATTTCCTTTTGTTGAACTATTTGGCTGGACGCAGTGGCTCATGCCTATAATACCAGCATTCTGGGAGGCTGAGACAGGAGGATGGCTTTAGCCTAAGATTTCAAAACCAGCCTAGGCAACAGAGCAAGACCTGTATCTACAAAATATTTTTTTTAATTAGCAGGGCATGGTGGCACGTGCCTGTAGTCCCAGCTACTCAGGAGGCTGAGGCAGAATATTTGCCTGAGCCCAGGAGGTCAACACTGTAGTGAACCATGATCATGCCACTGTACTCCAGCCTGGGTGACAGAGGTGGGGAGGGAGGGAGGAAGGGAGAGAAGAAGGGGAAATATTTTAAGACAAATCCCAATTATCCTGTCCTTTCCCTCTGCAGATATCAATGTGCATGTATAAAAAGCATGGGCACCTCTCTAGATGATTGTCATGCTGTTAACACAGTAATTCATTTGCCAATAATCTCTTGATTTTATCTGATAGCCAGTCTATAGTCAAATGTCCTCAACTGTTGCACAAAGATGCAAAGACCTTCTAAAGCACACTAAATTATTTATAAGTGGGATGGTACAATGTCTAGGAGGAACTTTAAAATACACAGGCAAAACAACATAAAACAAGAAACCTCAGGTCTCAGCTGGTCTGGGCTAGCTGGGGGGCATAGTGAAGGATGCTGTGCACTGTGTCAGAGACCACCCCAAAAGAGGCAGGACTCTCCCAGCATCTAGGCTGTTAAGGGAGTACAAAAAACTAACCCCCAGACGTCCTCTTCATTGGCAATTGTCGAATTGTTGCCGACTTGCCTCCTGCACACACCTGCATGTCGACCATGCCCCCACTTCTCACCACCTTAGCAGCTTTCACCTTCCTTGACAAAAATTTGCAAAGGAGACTGAGGAAAACTCGATATGTTGCTGTATATCAGGGTGTTTCTGCAGTGCACCTGGGTATTGCAGTACCTAGATTTGGGGCATGGGGTGACCTGTATTCCCTGTTTACATGTTTAAATAGAAAACATAAGGATAATGCCCGGGAGTGAGAAACTGCAGTCTCTTGAAAGTTAAGCTCTCTATATTTGGAGAACACTTAGTGCACATGTGTCACTTGGGCTTCACAGCTGCTCTGAGGGTCACTGTTGGTCTGTTTCTCCCTCAAGAAGCCCAGGTGCACACACTCTGCCAAAGAGGCTGTGGGAGGGTGGGCGCTAGGATGGGTGTAGGGGCCCCTCTTGTTATCTGTCCTACACTCCCTCTCCTTGCTGAACCAGTTCTTAACATTTATTGCTCCCAAATCCCAGGTGATAGAGACCAGGAAGAAAGAGGCTCCATACATGCTCCCTGAGGATGTGTTTGTAGAGAAACCCAGGTGAGGAGTGCACCTGGGACAAGGATCCCTGGATGATCCCTGGAGCATCTGAGCAAGCAGGTGGGCGGTCTGAGGCCAGGAGGGGTCAACACCAAGAAGCTTAGGCTTCTATGGAATCAAGGACAGAAGTGGACCCTGCCTGTGGGTCAGAAGTTCTGGGTAAAGTTTGACACCATCTCAGTACTGTAGTCCACACCTCGAGCATGTGATGCTGAGCTGTGTTGGTGTATGTGATGTAGCCTCTTGGAGCTTTGGCCAGGCTCATGGGAAATGCATCCTGGAGGAGTCATTCCTGACAAGACACTACTGTCAAGCCAAGTAACATTTCCAGACCATAGTTGGTGCTGTGGGGCCAGTATCCCTCCAGCATTAGAGGAACTCAAGAGAAAGATATTTTGAAAAAACTGAATGTCCGACAGTAGGGGGTGACTTTATGAGTGATGGCCCATCCATACCATAAATAAGTAGTAACATTGTTTCAGGAGAACATTTAATATAAAACACTCACTGTATAATAGCTGCATAAAATAAATTACGAGGGCTACTTGTGTATATACATTAAAATGTGTGACTGAGCTAGGCATGGTGGTGCCTATAGTCCCAGCTACTTGGGAGGCTGAGCAGGAAGCAGGAAGGTCACTTGAGCCCAGAAGTTCAAGGCTGTAGTGAGCTATGATCGCACCACTGCACTCCAGCCTGGGTGACACAGCAAGATCCCATCTCTTAAATGATGGTTACATGTAAGAATGTATTGCACCATGTGAATGGTGGTTGTCTCTGGGCATGGGACTGCGGGTGGTTTTCTTTTTCCCTTTGCTTCTCTGTGAACATGTTTCTTCTATATTAAGGAAAGTCACCTGGAAGTCATTCTAGACCCCTACAGTTCTAACATGCCTCCTTCCTCCTTGGCTTCCAGGCTGTCTGCAAACCTTGATGGAGTGGTGATTGAGTTCCTCTTCCGCCAGAGCAAGATCAGTGAAGTCCTGGGGGGCAGTGGCTACAATTCAGACAGGCTCTGCCTGCCCTACATCCCTCAGCTGACAGGTATGATCTCTGTGCAAGGACTCCCAAGCCTGCCTCTGTCCTTCCTTGGCCAGAGAAGGGCCTGAGTATAAGGAACGTGTGGGCCTTTCAGTCACCTGCCATGGCACCTTGGGTGTCACAAGAGCGGGAAGACACATGGAAGTTTATGGTAAGGGCCTGTTGATTTCCCTACCTCTTCTCCTGAGTGTGGGATCTTTGGAGTGACTGGCCCGTGAGAAAGCCTGACCTGTGGATGGGAGAGGCACCACTGTGCCGGATAGAGCATGCCTGGGCAACAGGACCAAGAGAGCCAGTTTGAGGCCCCTGCGTGACTTACGGCCTGAGGAATCTTAGACAAGTCCCTTGGCACCCTGAGTTTCGGTTTCCTTGACTGTAAAATAGTGACAATAACAATACCTGCCTTAGAGGGTTAGTGTGAGAGGTCGATGGAATAACCTGTGCCTGTATTAATGCAGATGTACTTGGTAAACACTGTACAAATGGCAGCTACTGGTGCTCTTGGCAGGTGATGCTTTCACAAGTTGAGATATACATTCTGGTCATAAGCAACTTCTTTGTGCTCATGGATGATTGCAAAATCTTAGCCCTAAAGAGCAAAACTGAACACCCTAGGATGGGTGGAGAAGGCCCACAGCAACTGGAACCTTTTGTAAACCCCAGGTGGGGCCCAAGTGCCCTGAGATTTAAAGGGCTGTGGACTGAGCAGGAGCAGAGGGTTTGGTAGGTTGGACTAGTGGCTCAGTCATTCCTGGCTCTCCGAGGGCTGGGAGCTCTAGCCTCTGCGCTGCTTCTTCCCCAGATGAGGATCGCTTATCCAAGAGGAGGAGCATTGGGGAGACCATCTCCCTGCAGGTGGAGGTGGAATCGAGGAATAGCCCAGAGAAGGAGGAGGTGAGTGTCCTCGCCACCATCCCAGTCAGCTCCACCTCCTGTGAGTTAGAGGCTCAACTCCAGGCTCCCTCATCGGCACAGTGTGCTTAAGTCTGCATGGAAAGCAAGCTTCTCACATAAACCCATGTTCTTACTGACTCCCACCATGTACATCTTAGATACCCCCGCCTAGAAAAGTGATTAGTGTCTACTACTCCTGTGAGGATGTCATCAAATCACTCTTGAAGGCTTGCTGGTTATTATTCCCCCTCACACGGGGCAGGTGTGCTCCATGTTGGAAATTTGAAGGTTTCACAGGAGAGATGGGGCTCTGAACTGTTTCCTAGTGTTTGTTCCAAATGTATGGATAAAGATCCTTTCTAAAAAAAAATGTTAGGTCACAGCAAAATTGAGAGGAAGATACAGAGATCTCCCATATACCGTCTGCCCTCCACATGCATGGCCTCCCCATATCAACATCCCCCAGGGAGTGGTGCATTCCTTACAATCAATGAACCTACATGGACACAACGCTATTACCCAAAGTCCACAGTTTACATTAGCATTCACTCTGGATGTTGTACATTCTGTGGGTTTGGACAATGTATAATATCCTGTATCCACCATTGTATTTCATACAGAGCATTTTCACTGCCCTAAAAATCCTCTGTGCTCCACCTAGGTATACCCTTGACAGCCAAGATTCTTCTTTAATGAGGGAGCTGCAGCATTGCCTTAAATCATCATCTCTTGAGGACCATGAACGTCTAATTTCTTCGAATTAACATGTGATGCCTCCCTTGCCATTATTTCATTTCTTCTTACCTCAGCAAATAGAGCAGATATACCCGTGAGCAAGGGAGACTAAGAAATCATAGTGGAAATATCAAATTTACTCCCCCAAATGAGAAAGAAATGGGGGCTGGAGGGGTGAGAAAAAGGAGACATGAGGGAGCTGAAGTCACAGATGCATTATACCTTTTTTTGGTTTTTTTGAACACTGGCTGCTCCAGTGAAGAGAATTGGCAGGCATGGGGAAAAGCCTCGCAAGAAATAAGGAAGACACGCATGTGTGAGACTGGGACTGGAAGGCTTGTGTGGTCCTTGGGCTCCAACAGGCTGGCATTCCCAAGTTTCTATACCCATTAAGGCTGGTGTAGACGTGGAGGAGAGCTTTGACACTGAGCCTGTCCCCAGATGTGAGCAGAGCAGGGAAAAGTCTTTAGGGGTCAGGACCAAACCTCCCTCTAACCGTGCCCTTGGATCACTTCACTCACTGGAACAGGCCTGTTCCAGGCTTATCCAGAACATTCCCACAGAAGGAAGAAAGCCCTGACTTGGGCTGAGTGAACAAGCAAAATGAGAAAGTTAAGCCAGTGTCCTCCACAACCCATCTGACCCAACTCACTGGGAGCCTCCAGTGCGTAAGGCTTCCCAGGTTGGAGACTGTTGTCTCCCCGCAGTGGTGAGCCTCCCCTCTAAGAGGTGAGAGACCCTCAGGAACTGAGGAGTAAAATGAAGCAGGAGAAGAAGGAAAAATGCTTACCTGGCTACAGAGCCACTTCCTCTAATGGCCTCCTTGGCCGCCAATATCAGTTTCTTGCCCACTTCAGGTGTCAGCCCAGAGGTGACTGGGTAGCAAAGCAGAGGCACGGGGGCCTCCGTTCCATGCCCTTCTGCCATGCTACACTTCTTTCCACCCTCAGCTGTCATGTACTGGTCCAGAATCCTATGGTGGCTCCCTATGGCCTTAAATGCCAAGCTCGCTGCAGGTGATGAATAAATTCCAATTCTGGTGCCTGGATTTGGAGCCATTTATAGTCTGGGCAGCTTGCTGGCCTACATCCATGGTCTCACCCCAGTAGCTTTGCTCTCAGTCTCTTCTGTGCTGTGCCCAGTCATCTGTGCATCTTTGCCAGTGCAGGATGCTACATCAAAACAACCCTTCCTCGCCACGTGGGTGCACCTTTGCCCCTGAAAACTTTAGTTCTTAGGCTCCTGTTCTTCAGTGCCTGGCTCCCATTCTGTTTCCTCCATAAACTTATCCTTACCTGTTCTTGTCCAGTGAGCATCTTTTTCTCTGACTGTCACCACCGCACAGTTCTTAGCACTTTGCAGGTGAATGTCTGATGTTGACCGATGCTGACAGTGGATGGGTGGGG